TGATGTTTGTTAGTAACACCTTTAGAGGGCGGCGGTGAGTAATGTTTGTTTATCTGATGTTTGTTAGTAACACCTATAGAGGGCGGCGGTGAGTAATGATTCTTGATCTGATGTTTGTTAGTAACACCTATAGAGGGCGGCGGTGAGTAATGATTGTTTATCTGATGTTTTACCTGTAGAGGGCGGCGGTGACAGTTAACCATCTGCTAAAATTTCATGATTGTCACAAGCCTACTGAAAGAGTAGAACCATCAGTAGATTGAATAGGCTTTACACTAGATGTTGGAACATTGCTGTGTGGGTTTGATTGCACCCACAAGAGCATTAGTGAGGTCAGATTCTGATGTTGGATGATTAGTTCTGGATCACTCCAACTCATCCCAAAGGTATTGAATGGAGCTCTATCACTGCAGAGAACACAGTCCCACTGCTTCACAGCCCAATGCTGGGGGGGGCTTTATACCCCTCTAGCTGAAACAACGGGTGCACCTTATTTATTAGCTGTTAAGGAAAGGTTTGTATGCTCACCATCCACTTCATTAGAATCCAGCACCAAAATAATATCCAGCCACAAGTAGCTCTGTGGTCAGAAACTGGTCAGATGAAGGGCTGGAGAACGGTACACCAGCAAAGTGGAGCTACAAAGTCAGGGTTTCTAATAAAGTGGCCAGTTATAGAATGATGTTTATAGGCGCATCTTTCAGTTTAGGAAAGAATCAGCGGAGACAGCTGTTGTTTTTCTTGATGAAGTCAGCCGTCATGGTTTCTGCAGCAGCGTCTGGATTCAGTACAGTTGCAGTGTGGAACTGTGCAGAGTGTCGCCCGATTGGCTGAACTTGCCACACATGAAAGAAGAGTGAAGTTGGGAATCCGATCTGCCTTTCATCTTCTCCAGTGGACAGTCATTAAATCTCAAGCAGTCTGGAGGATGACATCATCCACGGTCTTTCTAAATACTGCAGCGCTGCTTTTACTACATCTCGAGCCTTAGAGAATCATTTGAAGAAAGATGTACACAGAGCTGTACTCTTTTGCACTAATTACATTCTAATACATTATACATGCTATCGGTGTGTCTCATTTAAAGGACCATTGCTAGGTAGAGCGCATCCTTCGCAGTATCCTTTGAAGCCGTGTTCTGCGGAGGATCCTCCTCTGCTTCTGCAGCGCCAAATGATACAGCCTACGGAGCACTCAGATCTTTAGAAGAGTCATAAGTCCTGTCCCCCAATCGGCTGTGAGGCTGAGTTTGAGGGGTTTGAATAGTGAGCGAGAGCTGAGGAAGTTAAATAAAAAGAGAGTTTATAAAAAAAAGGTGAAATTAAACGAATGAGATGAGACTCATCCCTATCCACATCCCAGAGTATTTTTGCACCTGTGAAGAGATTTAGCACGAAGACATACATTTTTTTCTGTTTTCTCTGCTCCAAAACCACAACTGAAGTTGAACTACCAGATTAGTCAACGTTAGTGACTTTCCCGTCTGTCGGCGCTCCACAGTCGGCTGTGTGACTTGGGCTACGTTCACATTGCCAGATTGAAGTGATACAAATCCGATTTTTTTGCCCTAATGTCACTCAGAGCTGATGTTTTCAGAGCTATGTGGACACGCAAATCTGATCTTTTCAAATCCGATCTGAGTCACTTTCATATGTGGTTCTAGATCGGATACATATCAGATTCATGGCCATGTGGCCTTAATGTGACTCTCAGAACGGAATTCATGTGCTTTTTCTCCACTGCGTGTGCGCCATCAGTCAGCGTTACCATGGCAGCAGCGCTGAACAGAAGTTAAAGCCTGTAAACGGTGGAAACACACTCATTAGTTTGTTTGCTGATGATGCACGTGACACACGTGATTCATCCATGTGACGTTACTGAGTAGGATGTGCGTATGCGGGTCGTTTCAGGACACTGTTTCGTTCACGTTAATGACAGATTTGAATCACTTACCTGAACGAGTGTGAACCATCGGATCAGATTTGTCAGATCAGATTTGAGCAAAAAATCGGTTTTGAGCAATGAGGCATGTAATGTGAATGTAGCTTTAGTTCAAGTTCGGATTTAGCTTTGGCTAGTAGCCTTAGCATGCTTTCGCCTGTTGTATTTTAATTAAGAGCTCAGTTTTGGGTTCAGCTGTAGCTTTGCCTCCCTCGCTGTTCGTCACCTAAGCTAAAATATTAACCCTTTACCTTACATACTTAATGTGAGCAAAACTATACACTGACAACGTCACACATCAGTACTAAAATATAGCTGGTTGTCCATATAACGGCATGATGCTTGTTCATAACACCCTTTACGGCCGTTCATGTCGTAAACTGGTGCTCACAGGAACTCAGGGCTAAGAAGGATGTATCGGTGCGTCCTCAGAAAGAAGGCCATGTTTCTCGGTCGCATTTCAAGGATCCTTCGCGTTCTTTTGAAATGGGACAGTGCGTATGACGTATGCGCATGAGAAATGGAACCTTCGAAGGTCGCAGCCCCGTAAATGAGACACAGTGTATCTGTCTCATACTATCATGCTGTCATGTCCTGGGTAATTACAGTCGAATGCAAAAGGTTTGAACACCCCCGGTAAGATTACTGTATGATCTTCTGTGTGAAGATAAGTTGACACATCCTCTACAGAGAACTATGAGTACTAAAAGAAAAGACTAAAACATGGCGAAAGTGTAAAGGATGATCATTCTTTCTCAAAAAGAAGACTGCACACAGTAACATTTCATCAAATTTCACAGAATAAAATACCTCGTCTACTTTCAAACGCAAATGTGGTGTTGGTGGAAAGATCTGCACTTTCAACAGATTTTCCCTACTTATTTCAATGAACTACAAGCTTAAAAAAGGAGGTCTTTAGTAAAGAAAATGGTTCTAATGTCTGAACCATGAACCCTTTGCATGATTAAAGAGTTCTTTGCATCATGAAACCGTTCCTCAGATTGATGGGGAATGTGTTGTGTATGGTTCTATGTAGAACCTTTTAGAAAATGGTTCTATATAGAATCTTTTAGAAAATGGTTTTTAGGACGTTAGCCAGTTGGCTGTTCAAAACAATACCGTGTGGCTTGAAAATCCACTAGCATGCATGTTAATGGACTGGTGTTCTGAAAACTGTAAAATGGTCACTGACGGACCTGAATTGCAGACTATAAGCTATTTGTTCATCTTTGTGGCAAGAAAGCAGATAAAATACCACAGAAAATCAGGATGACTTCGCTGCTTGCTGGGCTGCTTGCCGCACTGCTTCCATCTGCCATGTTTAAACAAAAGGTATCTGAGATTTGAGACAGGCTTCTTGTCTGAGGCGCGCATATTATGATGTAAAATGCTGTCTATGTGGAGAGCTCACTAGGTTTTGAGACACACGCACTTTATGTACCATTTTTTGGTGTGCGTTGTCTTGGTGCTGGTACTGATGCTGTTGCTTCTTATCGGGTGTGTGTGTGGATACTCCAGTACTCGGTTGGTCGTTCAAGGTGCCAGAATTCAGATATGAAAATGCATTTTGTACATTACATACATCAACATTTCATCATCAAAATACGGGGAAAATATATAGGCTAACAGATTAGTTTTGCATATATTTGTGAGTATGTATGTTTTTATATACATTCCTGCTACTAAAGACACAGGCTTTAATGTCTATTTAAGGACATGACTGAGAAGGCCATAACAGTGATGGTGTGATCTTTTCACCACGAATGAAACTCTCTATGTGGAGAGCTCACTAGGTTTTGAGACACACACTTTATGTACCGTTTTTTTGGTGTGTGTTGTCCTGGTCACTTATGTGTAGTTCAGTAAGCATTGACCTGTGTCACATCAAGGCCCTTTCAATCCACTGGGTACTTGTATATGAGTAGGTGGACTTTCCTGGCTTGAAAAGGACAGACTAGTATTTGGAATGTGCTCCTGCCTCTTGTACTGGATTTTTACTGCTGTTTGGGTGATTCAATCTCCTAGAAATCGAAGCTGTTCTCTGTTACATATGCTTCTGAATAAGCAGGACACTGAATGGGCTTACCCTTACACAATAAGAGCCTGTTTGTCCTCTTATCCAGTGGGACCTGTGCTGTGTGACTTTCCTCTCTCTTTCTAAACAGTCTTATCTGTGAGTGGTGGGCTGTCTGTGAAGAGTCCTCTCTCCTCCAGTGTAAGATATCTCCATCGATAAGCGCAGAGAGTAGCCGACCACTTAGAGGATGCCAAGCCTGTGACTCTCCAGTCCACCACGTTTAAAGCGGCTCTGTTCTGGTCATTGGCAACTTCATCAGGATGCATCAAGCCTTATTTGAGCTGGATTAGTTTTACCTGTGCTGGTTTTAGTACTTAATTGAGATCTGTGAGTTTACTCCGGTGTGAGTTTACTCTGGTGTGCACAGTTTTGAGAGTAATAATTCCAGAGTTAATCACATTCTAAATTGGCTGAACCTCGATCTGCCTCAGTAATAGCGGTCCTGTTCATTTCGACCTCACGATCATGTTATAACAAGCCCAGCTAATGGACTCGTGTGACGTATTGTTATTGTTAGTGAGTGTGAGGTGTAACGCTGACATGAGCATCCAATATATGATGTTTCAATTGATTCAAATTATAAAAATACAGTTGTATGCAAAAGTTTGAGCACCCCTGGTCAAAAAACTTATGTTTATTTTATGTTCTTCCAGTGTGTTCAACTCTGCAAATAAGAGGATATTGGGCTTAAAATTTAGCAGAAAAGTGCCATATTTGTGAGGATTTGTTGGAAAAATCCATAAAACATGTTTTTTAACTGGAGGTGTTCAAACTTTTGCATATGACTGTACTTTGTCCAGTATGATTCAGCTAGCCAGATACTTTGCACACGCTTCCTGGTTCATATTGAACTTGAATTGTCCCTTATGTACATTTTTGTTTTGAAAAATATTAACACAGAAGCTAAATCTCATGTGCTCTCTCTCTCTCTCTCTCTCTCTCTCTCTCTCTCTCTCTCTCTCTCTCTCTCTCTCTCTCTCAGAAACGATGATGGATACTCGGACTGCCACGGCTGAGCTGGGCTGGACAGCGTACCCTGCATCAGGGGTGAGTTGTGTGTGTGTGTGTGTGTGTGTGTGTGTGTGTGTGTGTGTGTGTGTGTGTATTAGCATGCTTTTCCCTTTTTTTTGGGGGGGGGGGACAGAATCACCCTAGAAGATGACCTTGGGAACTGTGTGTCTCCATAATAATAGAAAAACACTGATGCTGTTGCTTCTTATCGGGTGTGTGTGGATACTCCAGTGCTCGGTTGGCCATTCAAGGTGCCAGTATTCAGATATGAAAATTCATTTTGCGCATATTTGTTTCATCATCAAAATTTGGGGAAAATATATAGGCTAACAGATTTTTTAGTTTTGCATATTTGTGAGTATGTATATTTTTTATATACATTCCTGCTACTAAACACACATGCCTTAACGTGCATTTAAGGACATGACTGAGAAGGCGATAGCAGTGATGGTGTGACCTTTTCACCACCAATGAAAATATATTTCTCTCAACTAACACATGGACACATCGTCCACTGTGGGGGAAAAGGCCTTGTGTACATAATTAAAAGTCCTCATCACCATCCAGAGTTGTTAACTGTGGTGTTAACTCTGTAGCTTTTCTGAAGAGGCAGCCTGAGTTACTCATTGGACACGAAAACCTAACTGTGACTATTTTTTAATAATATAACATGGTTTCAAATGTATTCCTTGGTTTGGTTGGTTTATCCTTCCCTGCGTTTAACTGAATACCTGTTCGGTCACTGATATGGATACTTAAATATCAAAATTGCACCATAATGATCCAACTCTCTTATTACACAGAATAAAGCTTTCACTTCAAAAGCTAAAAGATTTCTTTAAATATAGGAACATATAGCTATAGTGGTACCTAATTTAGTAGTGACCCCAAGCAGAGATTGTATTACATGTCTGTGTATGTGTGCGTACATAAGAGAGAGAGAGAGAGAGAGAGACAGCAAAAGAGAGAGCGAGCTGATACCCATGTTACAATTCTGAAAGTGATATTTGTGCATTGACTTTCTTGAAAGCAAAATGTAACCATACTGTGATTTTGTTCAAAGTAGCGTTTACCCTTAATAACACTCAAAGAAAAGAACAAAAAAAGTTTCCTTCTCCTCACCGCAGCTCTTTATTTATTTACAGCGCTCAAAATCTTGTTTATTTTCCAGCTTTTTGTGGAGAAAAGAGGCGACCGAGAAGGCAAATTCTAGCCCATTACCTCTGACAATGCCTGCATTTGAGCGAGAGACTTTGAGAGAGAGCGAGAGAGAATGAGTCATTAAATCGTTTCAGATTAGCTTTAAATCACACAGTAAAATGATTATGCTCTCCAGGTGTTGTTATTGCGTCTGGATTCAAACGGAGCGGTATTAGCGTTAGCGCATGTCTCTCTCTCTCTCTCTCGCTCTCTCTTTCTCTCGCTCTCATCAGAAAGGCACAGAGTGAAGCTCCCTGTCTGTTTCATCATCGCAGCCATTATTCTCCATCCAGGCCGCACTCACGGTGACTTAATGACATAATGAAGGCACTTACGCTGCACAGAGCTCCACCAAAGCCCCGCTAAAGGCACAGAGAGCAGCGCAGGCTTCAATAACAGACACACAGCCAGGGCAGAGCGCACATTTAGAGTAATCAGGGCGGAGGGATACAGAGAGATTAGCATTTAGATCCAATATGAGCACGTCGGGACACAGCAAGGTGATGCGCACTTTCTCACCTACGCTCGTTTTGTCTTTCTGTCTGTCTGTCTGTCTCCCTCTCTCTCTCTCTTTCTCCCCACTCTCAGTCAGTGTTCTCTTATTAAAGTCAACCTGAAATCAAAATTGAACTTTTTTGCTTTGACAGTTTTGACCGTGCTCATAATAAGCACATTATATCTTATTATTCAAAAGACAAAGTTCATGTTTTCCTGCAGACTTTTTTCAAAATGTAGTGACTTTTGCCTGGTCTCTAAAACGTTTTCTGATTTTTGATTACATCACCGTGCGCCAGTGAGTGGGGAAAATAACAGTAAAGTGGCTTTCTGGGCTAAAACTATGTTCTTAGCAAAAATGGTTGTGTATAGTACCAAAAAGGGTATTTTGGCTTGTTAAAATAGTCAAACCCTTTTTGGTGCTATACAGAACCCTTTTCAAAAAGGTTCTATATAGAACCATCTACAACATATTGAATATCAATCTGAAGAATACTTTAATCACGCGAAGGGTTATTTGACTGTGCATCGATATATGGAACCATTTTCTTTACTAAAGAACCCTTGAAGAACCATCTTTTTCAAGAGTGTAGAGTTTAATATGATATTTGTCGTGTTGCACAGCAGTGTCTCACACAGCCTTGACAGAACTCATGATTTTATATAGTTTCCAATGTTTCATTAATCTGTCAATGTTCTCTCACTACAATACCCAGCATACATTACACAAATACATCACACAGCCTTTGGGAATGCCTATGGTGTCAGCCAATCCTATTGCTAGCCTAGAAGCCTAGCAGCCTGCCCCCAAAAATCACCCCAAAGCAGTTGTAGCTTCTCAAAAGCTCCTCCCACCTTCAAGATATTTCATTGGAAATTCTGTCACCACTGTAGGATGCCAGTAAGCATGCCTACAATAGATGTAATAATGGTAAAATTTGTCATTTTGGCTAGAGTGTGCTTTAACCATCACATTCCCAACCCCCTCCTACCCCCCCAACTCCTTTTGGTCATTAATGTTTTTAAAGCCTGAAAACTCATTTTCCTTATATACCATGACAGATTTCCAAGTGAAACGTGGTATCAGAGAGGATCTCTGAGCTAGCTGAGCATTTTCTCTCGATGGTAGGTTGGTAAACATGATGATATTTGTTGATATTATTTGGCCCTGCCCACTGGTGCACGGTGATGTAATCAAAACTATAAAGATGTTTAGAGGCAGTGAAAAAGCCATTGCATTTTGCTGGCAGATTACGGGAACACAGGTATTTTGTCTGAATTGAATCTTGCTTAACGTGACATGAACTAAAAAGGTAAAAAGGGTTAGTTCTGATTTCTGGTTGTCTTTAAGAGAGAGAGAGAGCGATACAGAATGAAAGAGGGAGAGAGAAAGGGCATGGACAGCTTTTCGATTTTTGAACTCCTTTGTAAAATTGAAAATCAATCTTCAATCTGCACCTCTCCAGCACTTTGAAGTCTTCCAATGCGAACCGCTGTGCTTTTTCTTTACGTCCCTGCTCGAGCAAACTGCCATTTTGGCTCGACCTCAAATGAAATACATGGCTTGGCATTTGCTTTTTCTGGCTTTGTGTACTCAAAACCCAAAATAAATGGAAATGCTTGTTTGGCAAATCTGGCCCCAAAGTCCCTAAAGAAATACAAATGAATACAAACACTGCAAGAAGACTCGCACAATCCATAAAACTATGAGAAATGTTCGTCTGGTGTTACAGAATGGGCATTTGTCATTGAGAATTGGATTTCTGTATTCCTGCAAGCGCATTTTAAACAGAATTAAAGCTGTTTGTTCTCAGCGCAAAGATTTGGAGATGTAGGAGGACATTTATGGCTTGTTTTTTTTAATTGCAGCACAAGCTACTCTTTTATTCAGTTTAAAATCTGAAATGTGAATGCTGCTGTGTCTTCCTCTGGATTCAGCTCTGGAGGTCTTGATCTCACAGTTTCACTTACTATCCACAAAGGGGACCTTAGATTAAAAAAAGTTTGATAACTTGTGCTTTAACGTTCACCCATTGCTGATGTTTGAATGGGACGCTCTGGAGCAGCCGCAGCCTAAGGTCACCATGCCCAGTGCCAAGCATCGGCTAGGTGGGTTTATGGGGACAAAAGGTCTATTAATACCCTGGATTTCAGAAGAAATATTGGATGTGCAGTTGTCCACAAACTTATGGACAAATAGCATATTGTCCTATATGATCTCTTTGTCTAACAGGAGCAACAGCTGTATGATGTTAACAGTAGGAGCAGCTCCAGGCAAAACAGACACATATACACGTGAATGCACTGTTAAGCTCTGAAGGTAAAAGAACAAGACAAGCAGAAATGATCCTCCAACACTTCTCACACACACACACACACACACACACACACACACACGGAGCCTAGTCTTAGTATCATTTCTGCAACGACTTGAATCTTCCATAAAAAATTGACTTAAATATAGTGGTATCTGGTTCTGATCATTTGTTTATCATCAGTAAGTCCCACTCTTCTAGAAAGTGTTGTTAGCTTTTGTGATTCAGCAGTCACAACAAAGCGAAGACATCTGTTCTAATTTCTGAAAAACAGATATCGGAGCATGAATTTGAGTATGTTCTTTCTGGGTCATGTCAGATTCAATCAACCCAATAAAAGAGACTTTGCTGATTTCCAGATGAGGCATACTTGAGATGTTTACCAACGTTGAATGATAAAATCTATTGAGTGTGTGTATGAATGCCTGCACGCATGAGTGCTCAGTGTAAGAATGTTGTGCGACTTTTTGGCTGCTGGGGTTTTTGTTTGTTTAGTTTTGTATTTTTTATGGTGTGTTTTTAATTTGTTTTCTTTTTGAACTTTCGTTTTGAATGCTGAATGTCCTGAATGTTTTTTTTTTTCCATCGTCAACTGAGAACTGACTGAGAGACTTTGCATCGCGGTAACAGAGTTTTACAAGGCTGCATGTTGGGGACATTTTGGACTGTGACAGTGGAATATGACTAGGCCACAAGTCTGGGACTTTGCGCTGTGACGGTGGAGTATGACTAGGCCACAAGTGGGAGACTTTGCACTTGACAGTGGATTATGACTAGGCCATGATTGGGGGACATTGCACTGTGACAGTGGAATATGACTAGGCCATGAGTGGGGGACATTGTGCCACAACATAGAGGTTTGACTAGGCCACGAGTTAGGGACTTTGTGCTGTGACAGTAAAGTTTGACAAGACCATGAGCCGGGGACTCCACATCACAACAGCAGAGTTTGGTATGGCCGCAAGCCGGGGACTTTGCACCACAAGCACGGACTTTGGCTAGGCCACAAGCCGGGGACTTGCTCTG